GAGCTGTCTTTTCCAGTCTTCTGTCGTCCATTTTTGGTCAGGCTGTGCAAATTCTAGCAGACAAGAATAGGACTCTGTGTGGTCTTCTGCCCATGTGCTTCAAGGTATGCTCTTCTGCATACCTTGGTTCTATTACGTATTTATTTGAGTTACTGTTGCATTTTCTATAGATCAAAACACATTGGCCATTCTTCTCTGACCTTAAAATGTAATTTTTACCCAGAGAACTGCAGCTGAGTGGATGTTTTCTCTTCTTCAGATCAGAAAGTCATACAGATGGTTGTGTCGGAAAATCCAAGTAGATCAGCAGTTTCTGAAATACTCATACCAGCCCACCTGACCCCATAACCATGACACTTAAATCACCTTTCTTACCCATTCTGCCATATGATTGGATAATTAGATATTTGCATTAACCAGTAGCTGAACAGCTCTACCTATCAAAGTGCTAGGTGTATTTCTGAAATGTCTGTGTTAAGGGATGTCATGAGTTGAGTTGTAGTCACCAAAAATAATCATCTCCTATTTTGCGCTGCTCTCTATTCATCGCATTCAAGATGCAATGCCAGTGTCTCCTCCCAGTCTCAAATGGGGGCGCTTTCATAAGTTGCACTATGTAACCTTATTTACAGAAAAGAATAATTAGATATACAGTTTGAAATACAAGCTGAAAGTGTTTGTGCAGTCGTGCTTTGTATGGAAAAAGACACCATACCAAAATTAATGGGTGTTAATAGCGGAAACAGAAGCTAGCTAACATGGAGAAAAGCTGCATAGAGTAACTGAAAATCGTTTTTTTACTTCCTGTGTTTTTTGTGTAATCCTGTGGCTTCAGTACGCCTGCATGCCAGTACGTAAGATGGTGACGGGAACGCGAGTGTGTCATACAGATGACGACTGTGCTGCACATTCCCACACTGCCAGCATTTGCGTCACGCCTTCTCTGGAGAACCAGACTCGCTTCATCCGTGTCACACACCCTCCCAACACGCACATGCTGTTCGTGGGATATCCGCCACACCTGCAGTATGCAGGTACGTACACTTATGTTACCTCCATTTGTGAATGTAGGACATAATTAGCTGAAGCAACCGTCTGTTGAACATATCATTTGTTTAAATCTTGTGTTTTCAGTTTTAAACTTGTAATAAGCAACTGCATTTACTGTAATAAGCAAGTAATTGGTGTTTACAGTGTTCTGTAGATGTTGAACTGACTCTGGGCAAGGCTGAGGGAGTAATCACGAAGAGCCTGGATGTTTTCTCAGCTCATATTTAAGATTCATAAAGTGTTCAGTGGATCAAACTGAGGACCTATATATCTTGTGTTTTCTTATTTTCAGTGAGTCTGACTAACTTTGTCCCCCGCTTTGGATTCCTCCACCTGGACCTTCCTGTATTCCTAGAAACCTTCTGCAAGTATCCTTTCAGGTTAAAGGGACTACAGTCATAATCAAAGGATGGGTGTAAGAAGAATGAACCCTACTCTTCTGTCACTTTAAATTATAACATGCAGTGCAACATTTTATCATGCGTTGCATGTTCTCAGTTTCCTCTTTTAGGATTATATAGCATAAAAGTTTCATCTTACTTGATTCTAAATGTCTTTTTCTGAATAAAAGACCCCTTTTTAACATCTAATCAGCACAGTCAAGAGGCCAGATGCACTTTAAGATTGCTTGAATGCAGCCCTTAATTGCATTGCTGTGCAGATTTCTGATTGCAGTTCAACCCTTTTTAAGCCGTTTTTACATTTTTGTAGGTCTGTTTTTCTTTGTGACTACTTAACAAAGTAGTTATTTCTTGGCATTGCTGATTGGTACTTGGATTGATTGAAAACAATTTTTATTTGGGCTGAAAAGAACATGGCCTCATTAATGTCATTAAGTTTATGTCAAGATGACGGTGAAGGCTAAAACTGTATCTCGTTAATGTGAATTCACCTTTTTATTTGTGAGGGTAGGGTGAGTTGTTTCTTCTTGTTATGTAATGCTTTGAAAGTTAAAAGCATGCTCTTTGGTCTTGGGGCATTTTGGATGATTCAACGTTGATGTGTTTTTAATGGTGATCTTTTGAAAACCAACACTGCTCATATTTGACCAGGTGATTGTAGCGTGCCGCCTTTTCTGATTACTACTGGTGAGCAGCTACCTGATCATCTAGTCATTTTCAGCTTCCAGTTCTTCCTCAGTAGGATTTTTTTCCCCCTAAAATCTAATTATATGTTTTATAGTTTTATATCCGCTGCTTACACGTGTACATGCAGTGCTAATTCAATTATGGAAAAAATGCTGTATATAAAGGATGAATGCGTCTTTGGTTTCTAAAAGGTGAAGTCAACGCAGACATGCCTTAAACCTTCATTCATAATCATAAAAAGTCAGAGGGTGACTCCTTTGGTCAGACGTCCAATTGTACTAACGTGTATTTGGGGAGGGGGGGAGCCTTTTGCACGCTTGATCTGTGCTGTCCTTAAACACATCCCTGTTGGGTTTATGGGTTTATTTCTGACTGAGTTGCTAGTTTTAGGTCATGTCAAATCCAGCATCTTGTTTGTTTTTTGAGTTATGTTCCCATTAATGTCAAAAAGGAAGATAAAGAATACAGTATATTTTATTTCATTTTCCTTTCTTGTGTTCGACAAGAGTGTGCAGTGCCCTTCAGATTCACAGTCAGATTGACTTTGTGATGTACTGTTTCAAAAAGCCAACATGGCAACGGCCATAATGATTAGTTTGAGAGTTCAAACACCAGACTGCACAAACCACTGAGTAACGTCATGGTGGATACCTTTATTTTTTTTATGGACAGACACTCCAAAGTAACAACTAATTGAGAGTATATTCTAGATAATGCTGTTTCTACTGGTTCTCCCTGATGTGATATGCTTTGGCTGAATTAAATGACAGATGTTAAGAAGATGCAATGTAAAAACGTATCTCATTAATCTTTAATTAATAGTTTAATTCCCCTCTCCAACTCCAGTCCTCGAGAGCTGCTGTCCTGCAGCTTTTAGATGCATCCCTGCTCCGACACAGCCCTATCAAATGGTTTAATTGCTTCTTCAGCTTCACGTTTGACAAAGGCCTGGTAACGAGCCATTCATTTGATTCAGATGTCCTGGAACAAGCATGAATCTAAAAGCTACAGGACAGTAGCTCTCGAGGACTGGAGTTGGAGTATCCCGCCTTACAATATTGATAGAAATGTCCAACAATCACACCCTGTGAACAAGCAGTTGGTGATGGTCAAGAACTCCTGTTTCACAGGAAGAGAGTTCTGGCAGAACCAACCAGATGGAGGCCACTGCAACTGGTTGAGGAATTAAGGGAAAGTAAAGAGGAATAATGAGAAACCACAAAGGGGATAGTACTAATGGTATGCCTTTGGGAAGTGTAAAGTAGAGTGTCGTGGCAAAGGGCAACTTTTCTGTTCATCATCTGTTTATCGTCAACAGCCAGAGCTTATAGTAGCATAACTATGGGACTGTTCAGGGCCTACTGAAGGGAATTTACCAAAAAGGAAAGTTTAAAGTAGAGAGTGTGTCGGTGTCCTGAGCCCAAACTGGGAGCTGTCTCAACAGGAGAGAATATTTCTTTCAGAAAATTAACCAAATTGGAGTTTTTGAGCTAACTGTAAAGAATGGACCGCTACTGTTTGCTAGCTGTCCAGCAGGCAGAAGTAAACTTTCTCTGCTTTCATTGCTCGCTGCTTAAACTGACACTTAAATAATTGCCTGTTACTGTGTTTGTTTTCCTGAGCTGCCCTTCCTCTCAGATACGTGGTGTCCCTCTCTGGCGCATTAGCAGTAGTCAACTCTGTGCCGTGCTTTGCTCTCGATGGTCAGTGGATGCTGAACGCCCTGCTGGAGGCCACGCTGGCCAGTGTGGTAATAGACCGTCAGAAGCGTGAGCTGATTGGTTTCTTCCTGCTCCTGGCAGGCAGCGCCCTGCTGGCGGCCAACGTGGCGCTGGGCCTGTGGATGGTCACGGCACGGTAGCCACAGCGGTCAGCTGCCCCGGTGGACTGAGAGATGTTGTCTCAGGATGCGTTTGAGTGTTGTGGACCATTAAACTGTGAACAGACTGCATTACCCAGAAGCACTGCCCACCTTGTGGAGACTGTTGAGTATAACATCACTCTGCCTTTAAAATTTGACCACCAGGGAAAACAACTTTAATCCACCGTGTTGCTGCCATAAATCCAAAAGCACACAAACAAGTTAACAAATGCACTTGCTGTAAAGCACTGTCCTATGTGACTGTTTACAAAGACTGAACTGATGAAACGTGTGTTTGTGTTTTTCATTACTTTGATTCCAAAAATGCCATATTTTCCTGAGGTATTGACTAAGCTAACCTGTGGACACAAAAACGTTTAAGGAGCCTTCTTTTGTTTTCTGGTGAATGCATGGCAATATAATAATCTTGAATTCCTTATCACTGTTGAAAAACTTGACTACCTACTGTTCATGAAAACATGAATTATTTAATTAAATAAATCGACTCCTATCAATTTGAGCCTATTTAAATGGCATCTATCCTTCAGATTGATCTGGCATTGCAGTGCAAAAATTGCTTTCTTTTTCACTCACCTTTTCTTTATGTGTATGTTTTATTTTTTATTATGTCTGCCATATAGTTGCAAAAGTCAATTTCTAGAAATTGTGAAATAAAAACAACAGTTTTCCTCTTTCTTTCCTTTTTCTTTTGTCTGTTGAAGACACTGTTGGTATGTCTGGCAAGTGTTTTCCCACTTTTTACTTCTACTACACGTCTTACTTTTATTCATCAATTTGTCATTTAGTGACAAAACGTTAGATATCATAATTTATATTCAAGCAAAAAAAAAAGATAATTTTGTATAATATGTGCAATTTTTCCCCTATGAAGCGGTTAACATTACCTGCACTGCAGCAGTGACAATACTGTATACTGTCACAGTGATAATACAGCATTTACAATAAAACAGCAGCAACAAAGATGATATGACAAGAAAATTGATTATAATGAAACACATTAGAAGTGCTTAGGATAGCAACGTCCTCACACTTCAGTAAGATTTAAAACAATGAGAAATTAAACTCACTGACCACTTAAGCCATGTGCACTTGTGAATGCTAATATCTAATCAGCCAATCACATGGCAGCAATTTGGTTAATTTAGGCATTTACATGTGGTCCTCATAATGCTAAAGTTCAAACTTCAAAAGGGAGTTGATTTATATGACTTTACATATGTTCTTGGTGCTGGTCTGAGTATTTTAGAAACTGCTGATTTACTGGGATTTTCTGGCCATCCCCAGCAGTAACTCAAATACGCACTTGTTGGAGAAGAGCATCTCTGAACACACAACATTTAGATGGTAGCGCCAGAATTGTGCGCAAACAACGTGAAAGCAAGTGGTGTAATGGTATGGTGTATATCTTATATGCATAACTTAGTACCCTCAGTACCAAATAAGCATTGTTAAATCACCACAGCCTACCTAAACATTGTTGCTGACCCTGTCTGTTCCTTTATGCCCATATTGTACCCAACTTCTGATAGCTGTTTCCAGCAGGATAATGCCCCATATCACAAAGCTCAAATCATCTCACACTGGGTTCTTGAACATGATGAGTTCACTGTACTCAAATGGCCTTCACAGTCACCAGTTCTAAATTCAATAGAGCAGCAGGATGTGGTGGGACTGCAGACTGGCATCATGGATGTTCAGCTGACAAATGTGCAGCAGCTGTGAAACGGAACCAAAACGTCTGATGACTGTTTCCATCACCTTGTTGAATCTGTAAGTGTGAAAAGAATATTAAAATAAAATAATTTACATAGTGTGAAATAATCATAAACAGTTTAAGATTTAAGCTCGGAAGGCATGAACAAGTTGCCTTTTTCACTATTATGCTTTTGGCTATGATACGCGTTATCTTAATACAGGGTGTTCGCGTGCAATAAAACATTTCTACATAGTGATGTTTCTTCTTCTCCTTACATAGTTTGGTGGAGCCAGTGTTGTATAGCTCATCAGCAGTGGAATATAAAGTATTCAGATCTTTTACTGTAGTAAAAACAGCCATACCACTGTGGAGGAGTACTCTGCTACAAGTAAAAGCTGTGGTCGCTGTGGTCTGTCAGGGTTGCTAAAGGTCATACGCCTGATCTTTCTCTCAGGAGGCTGCAGAGCAGAGCACCTTTCTAACTTTATACCCGGCATGTTCCCAGCATATTGGCCCATTGTATTCCTCAGATACTGTAACAAAAGCACACAAGCTACACTTTTAGTAACAGCGCCAAACCACAGTGTTTTCACAGAGCCGTGCAGTGATTATGTTTCTTGAGTGCGTGAGCGAGAGGATTGACACATTGTAATTTGGAAGGGTGTTTCCCACAGACTGTAAATACTGATTGGCCTTGAGCTTAGCCACAGAGGTGTGTTTAGTAAGATGAGCAGACACCTCTGTCAGCAGGTTCAACATTGAGGCCACTTTGGAGACTCTTATCACTGAATAATTAGTGCAGTGTATGTCTGTGGGAAGATCGGACCATGTTGAGTCATGAGTCTGAGGACTTTGCGTCTTTTGCGTGTGTACATTCGTTCTCTGATAAGGCAATTGGAAGCTTATTTTTTTTGCCAATCTATGCAAACAGATTGCTTATGTGCCCTTGCGTGTGTGCTTCTGTTGCTTATCATGCACTAATGACAGCCTGCAGGGATGCTTGGGTAAACAGACATGGGAGGATGATGAACAGTAGTGAGGGAGAGGCCAGAAAAGAGCCATGTTCTGCCTGTCTGGTTTATAGTGAGAAATTGCCCCTAATTTAATGCTGCAATCTCCCCCATTTACCTATAATAAAGGGCTGCTGTCATATTTTAGTGTTATTATTCTTACATTTGTTTGATAGCACTAAATACAAGTGTGGCTGCGACTAATGGGGATGTAATGGGCCATTAAGTATTTGGCTATAATCCAAATTATTGTACGAGTTGAAAATTTGACCCCATGATGAGACAGAATAAAATGAATGGATCACCAGTGTTTATTACAAATCATTTTCCATGACAAGCTATCATAACATTGTTCTGTTTTTTCCCCACTACAGCTCTATAAATTGTAGGCTTTAACAGAAGAAAGTCATTAAAGTGAGATCAAACTTAAATATCTGTGGAGTGTCTCTGTAACCTATCCTGTGGCTGTTTAAATTCTCCACTAAAAACACAAAGAACACTAGATGGTTAAACTAGAGGAAAGAATTATAAAATAATGACAGTCTCAAACTGAATAAAACCTCTGGGGACTGAATGAGTAACAACTCCCATGCAAATCTGTTCAGTAGTTGTTCCAGTGTTTATGTAAACATGCACACAACATCATGTTGCTGCTAGGTTATTAATGTCACGGTTCTGGGTCAGTTCGACCCAGCTTTTTGAGTTGTTACGTTTTGGTTTATTTTTGAATGATGGATTATTCTTTATGTTTCTCTGGTGCTTTGTTGGGTTTTATGACGAATCTGTGTTTCAGTTATTTTGGTGTGTTTTTGCATTATGGATTGTTTTCTTATTCTCTTGTAGGGCTTGTGGTGGTGATGATGATTATTAGTTTCATGTTTCTGTTTATCCGTGTTTAAGGATTGGTTGTTGCATGTATTGTTTGAGTTGCATGTGTTATATTCTGTCTGCGTCTTTGTTTAGTGGTTTCTTATTTCCTGTTTTATTGTGAAGGTCTGTCTCATGTGAGTGTGTTCAGTTCTTCTGCTCCCCTGTCTCGTTAGTCCAATTTCTCCCAGCTGTGTCTCCCTCCTGTTGCCCATTCCCTGATTACCACCCTGTGTATATTAGCCCTGTGTTTTCCTGTGCTCAGTGTCGCGTCGTACCCTCAGAATTATGCCTGTGTGTTTCAGTTCTCTGTTGCCAGTATTTTTTGTTCAGTTCATGTTTTTTGTTCTCCAGCAATAAAGCTGAGGTTTTGAGCTACAATTCCATGTTTGAGTCCTGCACTTGGATCCACATCTCCACCTGCCCGCACACAGAGCCCTGACAATTAATCCTCTGGGGAACACTGCTATCTGTGCTAAATTTAATGATAATTCATCCTGTAGCTGTGAAACGACAAGCACAAAAACAGCAACACACGAATGATCATTTCATAGTGACACAAGAGGAACGACCCTGCATTGCAATTTTGCAGTGCTTTTTTTTACACAAAATATCTTAATGGTTCATATTGTGGGGTTATCGTGGCTCAAGAGTTGGCAGTTCGTCTTGTAATTGGAAGGTTGCTGGTTTGAGCCCCGGCTCGGACAGTCTCGGTCGTTGTGTCCTTGGGCAAGACACTTCACCCGTTGCCTGCTGGTGGTGGTCAGAGGGCCC